CTTGTACAAGTTATATGTAATGCATTAACTAAAAACACAAATAAAGGCAGTAAGCTCCGTAACATCGGCCTTAATAATCAAAAAAAAAAAAAAAAAAAAAAAATTCAAGTTTCAGATAAAGTTTCAGGTTTTGAAAATATTTTAGGTTTTAGTAGAGTTTCATATTTTAGGCAAGATTTTGGGTTTCGGGTAAGGTTTCACGTTTCAGATGAGGTTTCAGGTTTCGGGTGAGGTTTTAGATTTCGGGTAAGGTTTTGAGTTTCGGGTAAAGTTTTGAAAACTATAATCTGAAACCCGAAACTTTCAGATTTGGCCAAAAAGATTTTGATGACCAACACTATATACTACTACTTTAATCAATCATATATTACAATTATTCGTAATGCTATTGTTTTTTTATTGTAATTTTTATATAAGATCGCTAAAAACAACTATTTTACAACACCCGATACACTGTATTATTCTAATTTTTATATAATTGTGCACCTTTTCTAAGAGCAGTTCCAAGTGCATGCATTTGAGATTTATCTGTATCTAGGTTAAAAAACTCACCAGATTGGTGCTTCATTTGGGATTTACTTATTCTTGCTGGAAAATACAACCCTGAAAAAAAAATATTCAATCAATTATCATCAATTAATCAAAATCAAAATATTATAAAATTACCAGACATCTTGAGTGTGTCCGTTCTTAATTATCTAATCGGATAAAAAAACATCTTAGCTAATAATAGATATTGTATACAATATCATATATCGATGATTTTTTTATAATTATGTTATTCTTAAAAAAAGCGATATGTTTTTGTCTCATGACTGGGTAATTAAATTTGCATGGATTTATACATTGGTAGTATTTTATTTATGCAATACCAGATACGTATGTACTTGCTTAATGTTGATCACAAATGATTACCAAATTGATAAATCTTAGTTTCACTCCAAACCAGTATATACAGTACTGTAATCTTAAATTATGAGTCATGGAAGTAAAAATCTGAAAGTTCCCTAAAAATTAAATAATCAGCAATTTAATAGTTTTAACTATCCATTCAATCCAAATTATAATAATATTACTTGGCATCATGTGCTGTCCGCCTGATTAGAATAAAGAATGTAACCAACAAGCAAAATATAATAGTATTATTTTTACTTAAAAATAATTACGTTCTTGATTCAATTTTACTTCTAAATATAGTTATAATAGTTGGATTTCTCTCAATATAGCAATAGCATTACATATAACATTTAAAATTTTCACAAACCTATACCAATCTATTTAATAATGACTGAATTAAAAGCAATATGAAATCTAGCTCCTATTGTAACAAAACCAGTATTTCTATATTCCTTCAGAATTTTCAAAGTATAATAAAATTACCCGCTATCACAGTATCCTGTCTATTCCAAAGCATCAGCTTAGTCAAAATCTATAAGTGCATAACTCATAACTTCAAATTGTCAATACGTGAAAAAATAACCTGCTTGTGAATGAAATCACAAGGCAGATATTATTGTGAATCACTGAATTCCATGTGATGATAGATCATGGGCCCTGTATTGTCCGAAATTGAATATTTGAGTAATTTGATGATCTACCTTGGCCTTTGTTCTTGAATTTTTCTGCTTGACATTATGTCTAGCACTTGTCGCAAGCAAGTCAGTGTTTTTTGTTCTATTGACAAGAAAGAGAAAGCAAGATGAGTTTGAGTGAAGAAACCCAAAACCTACTTGTAGGTAATGAAGAAGGAGTACAGTTGCAAGAAAATCTGACTATAGAATAGAACCGTTTACATTTAACAGACTTGAGAATCATGTGTAACAAGTGTAATATCCCAATAGAAGGTATTAAAGCGGAACTAGTATCTTGTTTAGAGGATTTCTGGTCAAAACCAAAAAATGATTTCAATCTGCAAAAACTGGATAAGGGAAACTGTAGAATGAAATTCGAGTGAAATCTATGATGATGAAAAACCTTTTCTATCTGATGAGGTAATCGAACAAAGTTATGTCTTTTTATCTCATATAGAAAATATAT